AAAAAAAAGTCCGCCCGAAGCTGTGTTCTGGGAAACAGACATGAATGTCAGCTCTTGCACATGCTCTCCTGGCTTGGTTTGCTCGCTTTTGTCAATTCTCTGCTTCTCTGGAAAAAAAAAAATGATCTATCCCCAAAGCTATTAAGCTTCTTACTAGGATAAATAGTGGTAAAAAGTTCCTGCCCATGAAAAACAGTCCTCCATTGTCAAACATTCCCTCTTAATTGATCTTAATAAGCTATTTTAAATGAAGGGGAAGAGAAAAGCACAGCACTAACACATAGTAATTATCTGTAATTCTCCATTTGTAATGTCGCTGAATAGAGAAAATGATGCAAATGTGGACAGATGCTGACTAGAGTTTTACAATGACATCGAAATCAGCTATTTTGTACAGTAAGTAACATGACCAAGTTGTAGTATTTCAAAGGCAGGTTTTCATCCCAACGACAGTATATGCCACGGATTGCTGGCAAATGTAATGAGATTAAATATTGTGCACTAAAAATCGATCAGTGTGGCAGGGACTTGTTTAGTTGCTCATATTTAATGTAAAATTCAGTGATTCTATATCAGCTTTAAAGTGAGAAGAGAAACAGACCCCCTAGCCTCCTAGATAAGTTTTGTTTTGCCACTTAAAAGAAGTATAATCCTAGCATTTTTAGAGGTAATTTAAAATCAAGTGTCCTTATTTAACAAAGGAGAAAAAGAAAATTCAAAAGAGGTCTCACAGCTGCTGGCAAAGCCCAGGTGTGGTGGAGTGGGTGGGGTGAGGTCCTGGAAAGATGGCTGACTACTCCTTATCTTACTGGTAATCTCATTTTACCTTAGTAATCAACATCTCTTTTTATGTCTTCTGCCAATAAGTAATCTTTCAAAATTTACTGTGTGCCACGGAACTGTGTGCTAAATGCTGGTGTTACTATAATAATTAAGACACACTTAGCATAGTGAGAACAATTAATCTAATATTTAGTAATAGTAAAAATTATCATGTATTTAAAATTATCATTATGAAATTTTAGGAATCTTCACTCTAGAAATGTGAGTGATCTTGTGCAAGCCTGTAGGCATGTGTGAGGGGCCGGGTGTGCACTCTGAGCATCAGGCAGTACTTGCTGACCAGGTGGCAGCAACAAAGAAGAGGAATCTAGGGTTTAGAGCTGAAGATGGACTAGGAAGAAAGATGGGAGCCCAGGTTACCAATGGAGAACAACAAAAAAAAAAGAGGTAGGGATGACTAAGACCTTGATGAGCAGGGATTAAAGTACCTGCCTGGAAGGCCACATGCAGCCCAAGGTCAGGGACCCTAGCCCTGCCTGGAGCAATGGCCTTCGAGAGAAATCCGAATGGCCTTTGCAGTGGCTCACTGAAAAGCTCAAGATGAGTTTGCCCAAGGTTAATAATTATCAGCACCTAGGAGTCACTTCCTTTGCTTTAACAAATGATGAAACAACTGAAACTAGAAAAGAGGTGAACCAATTTGAATTAGTTTTTACTTTAGTTCCCTTGAAAATAAAATTAAAAACAGTATACCTCCTATTTATTCTGGGGGAAATCAGGTTTTTTGGGGGGCAGGGGGAGAAGCTGAAAACACTTAGCTCATTAGTGAATTTTAATTTATTTAACTTTTTTTGGAAGTGACAATTAAGAATTCTATTAAAATCATATTATGAACTAACCTAAATCAATTTAGCATTTCAGAAAATGCCTGGTCTTTATAAATATAAGGAGCTTCCAGGAGTCAGAGGTAGGAGAGAACCATGTACTCTAAATCCTACACTCACTGCTAGCCTTGGTCCAAATCCTGCCAATCTACATAAGCACAGAGGCACAGAAACAATCTGTCCTTTTCCAAGGGAATTTCTCTTTTTTATCTCAGGCACTTAGATTAGAACCATGCAAGTTTACTCTGAGTAGACACGCTATTCTCAGGTCAGGACAAGCAAATCTTAGAGTCACGTAGAGAATGGGACCCTTTGAGGAGTGGGGGACCACAGACCGCAAGGCTCTGTAGGGCTCAGATGCACGGCTTGCCAGGCTCACTCAAGAGTGGTGGGGCTCTGACAGTTCATTTTACTAAGGAAAATATTTTTTTATACCTGTAAGATAAAGAAAACCACTTAGATGATACCTGAAGTGTTTATGTAACCAACTTTAGAGAGTGCATTCCTAATGAAGGTATTTCCACTGTCAACCAAACACGCCAAAATAATGAAAGTTAATGTACATGTACATACATGGACGGCACTGTGCATACTCCAGTGCTTCAGCATTCTTAGACCACATTACCATAAAGACAGTCTGGTTGTTTCTACAGAAGAAAACTCTCGATCTTTTACTCCAATCTTTGACTATTATTTTACCAGGCACATTTTCCCTTGTAAATTTAAATTATTGAGAGCTACTAAATCACATTAAGCTTGCTGAAATTTTTACAAATTTGGTATCACTCATCCTTCTACTTATTAGGTAAAGTGTTTATTAAACCAACTGCCAGTCCTGTTAAGTTATTGCTTAGATTTTTTAGGACATCACATTCAAAACCTAAGATTTATTTCTAAGTTCTTCATCAAAATTAACATATTGTTCTTGTGTTACTACTTGTGTATATAAGTACTGTATAAGTAATTCACTCTTTTTTAGACTTTCGCAAAGTCAGATTATGTTAGCAATAGTAAAATCATGATTCAAAGAATCATAGAGTTCTCCAAGGCTTTGTCACTGCAAATCACTTTGCTAATAACAAGAAAACTACTACTGATAGTATTTTACCACGTCGTATTCAATTCTAGCCACAACCTTATATTCCCATTTTAGAGATGAAACACTTCAGCTCAGAAGAGTTAATGAAGCCCATTAGCCAAAATTACAAGATTACAGGATACAAGATTCAAAAGCCAGGTTTTCCTGGCTCCAAATCCTGAACTCTTTCCTTTTTGATTTGTTACTGTACCCAAGCCCCTGAACGAATTAAACTACTAAGCTATGCCACTCAAAATAACAATCACGCAAACATGCCGCGTATGCTATTTCATACCTTTAATCCTCTGAAACTTCCTGGACTAGTTGGAGAGGAACTGGAGGATTTCGTAGATTTAGGAGTGGAAAGCTGGCTGCTGGGCGTTCCATTAACTGACCATGAGACAACAAAGGAGACAGAGGTCATTAAAACCCAAAACAACCAGATTGTGTCAAAACACTCAGCACATGCACAACATTGCCCCCCAAAAGCTTCATTTAAAGCTCAAAGCAGATGGCAAATCAGCAAAAAGGAAAAATAATGTATCTTATCGCATTATAGACACAGTATTAGACAAATAAGGAGTGAAACTAGGATTATTTTCAACAATAGCTTCCCAACAGTGACTTAAACAAAGATATAAAACATTATGGAACTAAAAATGTGCATCAGAACTTGTCCATATATCCTGCCTGCCAGCAAGGGCAGAGAAATGAATGGCTATGGTATTTGTAAAGGTTTACTACAAAGATTGTCCCATAATCTCTAATATCTACTATTTTAGCATATATCAACCTGAAAAACCAAGACATTCTATGGCTCTCCCTAATCAATTCTACCATAACCCAAATACATTTTCTAAGTACATTCTTATAGAATGGGAAAATTAATGGTCATTTTCCTTGTAATGTCCACTTATTTGTTTCAAGGCCATAAAAGATACTCTTCAACTTTCTTTTTGTCTAGTTATTTCTAATTCCTTCTATTTTCTTTTCTTCACAGCTTAATTTCCCCATTATTTAGCAAAGCTTGATGGTTTTCTATATACTCTCCTTCATTCACACTTCCATACAGTTCTTAGGCTGAAGGTTCAGTTTTAGAGCCTCTGCCAGTAAGAGTATGGCCACTGCTGTTTTGAGGTGACAGTTAATCTGCAGATTCTATATTACAGAATGCTTGTCAAACATTTCAGTATAACCCATGCTTATTCCTAACTGTATCACTTGGACCCATTTCTGCTTTAATTTCACATCTAGAATTGGTGTAATTTTTTTTCTCTTCTAAGGAGTATTTATAACCCTTTTTATCATGAATCTTCAAATGCTTTTGCCCAAAATGGATGAAAACTGCCATTCATCTCTATAGGAAAAAAAAAAAGCAAACTCCATTTCTTTATTTTTTTTAATTGAAGAAATTTAAATTCCCCCCATCTATGTCCCCCTCCCCTCTCCCCTCTGGTAACCACTAGTCCTTTTTTTTTTTTTTTTAATACAAGAGAACAGACAACTATTATTTTAAATGATGCTAATAACTATAAAAAGCAAAATGCAGAGACAGAGATCCTAAATAGGTGACTGAAAAAGGTGGGCAGCAGTCCTTGAGTAAAGGTTCAGAAATCCGGCATCAAGTGTTTGTGATTAATTACCTGTAAACAGGTGCATCTGGGTCTATTAAGTCATGTTTGTTTACTGTATTGCTCATTTAAAAAAATTCAGAAAAGATGAAAATTTTTCCAGTTATTTTTAAATTCTAAAACTTTAATTTTACAAATTCAAAACCACTCATTCAACAATAACTATCAGTTACTTAGATTTTCTAAACAAATATATGTGGGTATTTAGAGTCCAAGTACAACACAAGCAACTATTCAACTCATTCTAAACTTTTAAGAGCATTCAACAGCCCTGATTATTTCTCAATTAAGTTAAATTTCAGTTAATCTTATACCTTTAAAAAATTCTCTTTAAAGGAAACTGGTGGTAGGAATTCACATAAAAGAGATTATTATGGGCAATGAACTAGTAAACGTGCTGTGAGTTGAGACCTTTTTCTCTGTCCCACAGCAACTTGTATAGGTCACCAGTCCCTCCTCAGTAAGCACTGTTAGCTTTCACTAATTAACATTCAGACACCATGCTGACGTCAAAGGCTTCTTGAAAAGGTGATTAAAAAAAAGAGGGGTGGGGAACTAAAGGAGAAAATTTCCTGCAAATGGTGATCTGTGTAGCAGATCAATCTCCCTAAGGATGCAGCCCCTGCCTAAACCGTTTCTTAAAGAAATTCACTGCCAGCGACTTAACTGGTGTCAGTAACTACATATCCCTATTCCCCCTCAAATAACTCATCCTAAAGAGATATTAAGTCACCTGTAACCCTCTAAATTTCCAATAGCATTTGGAAGCTTCTAAAAAGTGCTCTTTAATGAGTCCTTAATACCATTTATTTGCACATTCTCCTAGTCTTTGGGAGGGGAAGTGGGGCCTGGGGCAGTGTTACATTGTACCTCTTCCGCCGACACTGCTGCCACCAACTGGAAGGTGTGTGACGACCAGCCGGCATCTTTGCGATGCTCCCACTTCTTTACTACACCCCTGATTTTCTCTCCCGAAATAAGGCTTTTATCTATCGTTCCCCTCAACTCTAAGGCAAGAAATAAACTTGGGAACTTTTTTGCTTGCTTGTTGGTTTGCTCTGAATACTTTTTATCTTAGTGGACTATGAAAGATTCACAAGCTAGAAACCTAAGGTGACAATTTTTAAGTCTCAAATTATGGTCACTGTTGATCCACTGATGTTGTCCAGATTAATCCCTCTGTGCTGATTACACATTATTTAGCTATTACAATAAATTAGTTTTGTTGGGGGAATTTAGTCAACCAGAAGACTTCACTTATAGAAGCATTTCTGTCTCGAGATTTAAAAAGTACAATATTACATTTACAAAGTTACTAGCTCTGTTTGAAATTCCAATTAAGTCCCATGTAATTTTTAAAATGGTAACAGGTAAACCACAGCTAAAGCAGTCTGTAAAAGCAAGTTATACTTCTGGGAATTGTGCTTTTAATAATACAAAACTCTTCTCTTCCCAGCAGTGGGGAGAAGACATGATATGAATAAACGTAGTAACTTTATTCAGAACCACAGTGAAATCCCAGCAATTGACTCAGGCCTCAGCTTTCCATAACGGCAGTATGTGCTGAACACATTTCTTAGTTAATCTTTCACAAAGAAGCCATCTGCCTTCTGAAAGGTTAAATATCTCACAACGTTCAATGATGAGTTTAAGGTCTACTTGATCAACCCAAATCCAAATATGGACTCAGTTAAGAACTGGGGGTACTGCAATGTGAAGATTTTCTTGAATCAGTTTCCAAGCATGCCAAATTCAAGTTAAAAATAGTTATACATTTATTAGGCTGGTCTGGAAGACAAATGTGGCTAAGAAATATGTTTTGAGTTCAGTATGTTAATTTCACTCTTTCGATTTCACGGAGACAAACTTGGCGTCATCGTACTACCTGCTTCTTGAATCATTCTCCCCACTTTTATTTAGTTACTTTACTATAAGTATCTGTAAACCTACCACTAAAACAAAAGCTAAGAACCTGACCAAAACCTATATCTTCCACAAAGTAAGCTCAGTTCAGTGTCTTTGTGCAAATTTCATATTACCTTAGCTTTCCCAGTGTTTGAGATACTTTACAGAAAGCACAGTATGATTTGAGATAAGCTGAACAACAGAGAGATGCTTTCAGTTAAAAATATTCACCTTGTCAATACATTGAGAAAGTATTGGGCCTATTTACCCCAGAAAGGGGAGGAAGGTAAGAACAGAAGAGTTTAATTGCTTCAATGGTCCTTTTTGTATTTCCAACAAACTTTTAGCCTTTTTCAATAATAGAATATTTTCTAAGATTAACTAGAAAATACATCCCTAACGGCGATGTGTCTCCTCGATCACTCAGTACTGTGACTACACACGGACAGGCACTTGGCAATCTTCTGACAACGACCGGTTCTCTGATAAATCAGGGAGACCACAGCACCTGTACACTGTAACGTGCCTCACACCGCACAGATGTACACAGGTGCAAGCCAGAGACATTCATGGAAACGGAGCAAAGGAGACAGAAACGTGGCAAAAGACAAAAACAAAAACCCAGCAGAGCGACAAAGCCATAGTAAGCATGGCTCACCTGGGGATCTGGCTGTAGAATAGGCACTGGAGTAGTGGGCACCCCTCTTTACTGTACACATTCAGTATATACAAAGGAGGAGACAGCAAGGACAGTGATTATTCAGCAGGTCTAAATGCATATACAACAAGAAGGGTCAAACGACCCGACCTAAAGAAAGTAAGGCAGGTGCTGAAGGGGAAGTGGTGAAAAGCAGAATGGCTCCAAAACTCAGGCTTTTATTAAATAGTTTGATGCTTGAGACAGTTCTTATTTATACTCCTCTCACATGTTCCAGGTTTCCCACATGTAAAATCGGTTTTCACAATCCTTTCCTTAATGAGTAATGATGTCAGCAAACTTATTTATTATACTATAAACAAACCTTGTAGAATCAATATATCGAGATATGTGCGAATGTTTTAAAATTTTAAATGTCAAAAACAGTCAAAATTATGACAAATTTTAGGCTTAGGACCTGGAAGAAACTCAATTACAGGTCACTCTGACTTTTAAATAAGTATTTCTTTCTAGCAATAATAACTGCTACTATTAAATTGTTTGATGAAGGAAAGGCCTGTGGAAACCTATCGAGTAAGTTCATTGTTGTGTCAGGTGTATGTGTTAGGTACATGTGTATGTTTTAAACCAATAAGATAAAATATCCACAACCATATAGCTCGAAATTTAAAATTCAGTACACAGTGGTCAAAACGTGCCACACTTCCACGTAAGTATTAGGAGAATAATGTAGTAAGATTGTTCAAGAAAATGAGTCAGAACAAAACAAACTAGCTTCTTAGGTGACTTTTAATGACTTTGAGAAACAAACTTCAATTTTTGGTTTTAAAAATCATGTCATCTATATGTTGTTCTGGAACCTGGCTGCGTACAAACGTGGGAATACTACCAGCCCACAAGAATGAAAGCAAACTGAAGGGCACTGTTAGGTGCCCCCCATGCCCATCCATTCCTTTTCCGTTAACTACCTGAAGCTGGCGACTTGCTGCGTCGAGAGGGCCCAGAGCTTTTGAAGCCAGAATACTTAGCTGACGAGCGAGAATAATATGACTTCAAGACGTGGCATTCTAGAATGGAAGGAAAGTGTGTTAAAAAGATCTGGTTTTAATACCAGCCAAAGGAAGATCACACAGAAAACTAGTTTACTGACTAGAATAGAACCATTACCTGATCTTTTTTCTATTACGTGAAAAAACTAATATACAAAACCATCCCGAAAGTTCACCCAAGGTTACCTTTAATTAGGCTACATCTTATGCCACTGCTTTATTCATGTTGTAACTAGATGTGCGCGCACGTGCACACACACACTCTAATCTAAATGTGGGCAGCTTTCTTTAGTCAGTAGCATTGATAGGCAAAGGCTACACTTTCATTATGCTCCCTAACTCTCTATCATATGTTGAAAGGGTACGTAGGGCTCTAATTTATGAGCCCCTCACTGCCTTATTTTCCATCTTTCCAAAGTGTGGAGCATCAAAAATGAGGAAACAAGCTTTAAATAATAATTTTGGTCTTTTCATAAATCGCCAAACAAAATACCATTTAGAGTATCAGAGCTAACTGCAGCTAAAATCATCATCTCTAATTTGAAATAATTAAGAACATGAGTTTAAAAATCATGTAGTTTTGGCTGAATCACAGATTTGACTTTGCTAACTGGAGGATGTTGGTTAGGCTCTCATCCTCAGTTTTTCCCCTATGAAATTGAGATAATAAAATCTTCGCAGGCTTGTTGTAAGAATTAAATTAGATAACATATTGTCTGTAATTTATATTAAAATACTTCGATTTATGCAAGGAGATTAGAATGTGGATTGGTTTTAATGTATACCCCAGGGGCAATAAAATAACATGTCAAGTACACTAAGTACACACTGGGGGGGAAGGACAGTTAGCATTTAAAAGACTCTCATCAAAACCTTACACAGAGGGGGCTATAGCAACCTCAGCTTAGTTGATTATCATTATGGATATTACAAAGTATTCCATTGTTGAAAGGAGTGATGTGTGGATTAGTTAGGAACGTTTTGAAGGCAACCCACTCTTTCATGAGCAGGATACATGAATCAACAGGGCCAATACTAGAACTTCGGAACTACGTCCTAGGTTTAGGACTTTGAGCTAGTTCTTCATTCAATTCTTAGTGGAAGATTTTGTTACTTGACTAAGACTAGGTTAGTTGATTTTAATGGATCTTTAATGCAATATATCAGAAATCTAAAAGGACAAAGTTGGGATTTTATCAAAATTATAACACAAGTAACTGATTTAAAAAAAAACTTTGCATCCTAATAAATGTATCTATGGCAGGATTAAGTCTGAGACTGACTTTCATTGGAAATTGTTATGACCTGATGGTGGTGGTATGATAATATTAACAATAGCATATCCAATGAAAAGGGTGTCCTAATAAATGCTTTACATATATAAACTTGTCCAATCCTCACAAAATCTTATGAAACAGATACTATTATTACCCCTAGTGTGCAGAAGGTTAAGTAATTAACATTTGAGAGGGAAGAAATCAGTAGCTTTCACCTATCTCTAACTACTGGAGTCTCTCCATAACCAACAACAACAAAAATATATGAACGATCGAACTAGTTAAGGTAAGTTTACGACATACATGTGAACTAAGTACAATACCTGGTACATACATAGAATGAAATAAGTGTTTCATTATTGTTGCTGTTACCCAAATTAACTTTATAACCTAGAACATATCATTGAGTTTCAGTGTCTCAACTTTCAAAATGCCCAAGGTTGACATCAAAGAAATACTATGAAATAAAATTACACTAAAATCAAGAAAGATGTAAAATACAGATGATAGGTAAATGCATGTCAGTCAACCTTAATCATCCATTCGAATAGGGAAGAACATTACACAGGTAATACAAAAGGACACCACCTACAATTCTTAAGAGACTTTCCAGTGATATTACCGATTTAAAGCAGGACTGGTCCAACAGACTATAAGACAGTACAGAAACACTCAAAGAAATTTGGCAGCAGTGAAAAACAAAATAGAAAAACAAAAAGAGTAGATAAATAAGACCCAAGCACCAAGTACATAAATTACCCCAAGGCAACTGACTTAGTGCAATAGGAAAGGATTACACAAGGGAGTTGGGTACCACAGAGTGTATCATCTTGAGTTTTTAAAAGTCTATGGGTCATGGTATTTATTTGATGGTACGTTTCTCTAATTCTGGACTGTCAGAATCACTACAACTGGAAGGGTTGTAATTTCAGTCTAATTTGTGAAAAACCAACTTTTCCTTATTCGTGAAATTAAAGAGTGAGCTTGTATTTCAAACATCTCTCTCCTCTGTGAAATACGTCTGTATGATTTTACCTCATTCAAAGATGAAGTTGACTTTATCAGTTAAAATAATCACTATAATAAGTTTAAATTAATTTAAGACAATGGTGTAAAGCAATATTGCAAGAATAACATTTGAAATCACGGAGGTTATTGCTGAATAACTGAAAACTCCATATACTGGCTAAAATCAAGAAAAAGGATTTTAGTCTACAGCCGTGCCACCCTGAACAAGCCCGATCCCATCTGATCTTGGAAGCTAAGCAGGGTCAGGCCTGGTTAGTACTTGGATGGGAGACTACTTAAGAAGACCAGGTGCTGTAGATATAAAAAAATAAAAAATAAGGAATTGTAAGCTGACAAGGTCTTCGCAATCTGTGAGGTCAACCCATTGTTGCCCGCCTAAAATAAATAAATAGATAGATAGATAGATAGATAGATAGATAGATAGATAGATAAGAAAAAGGATTTTATTATCCCATCAATGAAAATAGCTTTATTTTTTTCTGCACATATAAATGCTTGCTACTTTTATTTCAGTTGCAAACAGAACAATAAGATAAAAAGAGATCTGAGATAATCACTACTAACGATTTAGTTATTATCATTTTATACATTTCTTTATAGACATGGAAAATGTAGAACTCACCATCCATACAATTAAGGTGGCATAGCCAGCCTCCATTCTGAAAGAGGGCAGGAAATTCATTTTGGAGGCAAAACAATACAGTATAAAAAGAGACTCTAATCACTAAAACATAAAAAACTACTTAACTACTGAATGAGGGTTTTTTCCACAACTAGGTAAAAAAGAATACTGTCAATACCATCCTTCTTTAACACGTCAGACCACTTGACATGCACGGAGTAACTACATCCCACACCTCCATTACACAGTTACAAAGATGGTCAATGGACTGCCTTACCACTGTGATCCAGGACAAAGTCATCTTGGGCATAACGGAATTTTTCAGGTCCACATGCAATAAAAACATCATCATCACCAAAAAAGTCTTGCAGACAAGTAACCTAAAAAAAAAAAAAAAAATTCACGTCTAAGAAATAAATCAGAAACATTTGAAGTAAAATTAAAAGTCAGCAAAATCATATCTTCAAGCCTCACTTATAATACTCAGTTGGAATAAAAAGCTGTTTAGTATCACATTTCCAAGCATTTTACTCTTCACAAAGCGCTTTCACGCAGTTTCTCCTGACCTCAGAACAACAGAATAAGGCACATATAGCTGGTATCAACATCCCTGTTTTACACTAAAGTCGAGGACCTGCAGAAAAGGTACAGTGATCTTTTCCAGGTTTTAGATTAATGGGTGGCAAAGCTGGGGTTGATAGTGATCTCTGCTCAGTTTACTGTTCTTTACTTTTCTAACCTCCTCACTCTCCTAGCAACCCCACTCCCAGCCACGTCACCTTGGGCATGATTTCTCTGTACCTGGGGTACAGCTCATCTTTGGTTGTTTTGGGGATTAATGTGTGAAAACTGCTTGGAATGGGTGCTAGACATGTAAGTACAGTAATTTTTCCTCATCCTTGGGAGATAGATTCCAAAACCTCCGGCTGATACCCGAAACCACGGATAGTACCAAACTCTATATGTTTTTTCCTATACATACATACCTTTTCACTTAAAGGAAGCACACTGGCTTCTGTTTGGAATATCCAAATTGCCAGCAACACTACTCTTGCACTTTGGGGCCATTAGTAAGTAGAATAGGGTGACTTGAACACAAGCACTGAGATACCAGAACAGTAGATCTGATAACTGAGATGGCCACTAAGTGATTAGAGGGAGGGTAGCACACACAGTGCGGAGACTCCAGACAAGGGGACGATTCACGTCCCAGGTGACGTGGAGCAGGACAGCACAGGATTTCATCATGCTACTCAGAACTGCATACGACTTAAAACTTATGAATTATTTCTGGAATTTCTCATTTAAGATTTTTGGACTGTGGCTCACCACAGGTAACAAACTGCAAAAAGTAAACCCACGGATAAGTGAGACTACTGTATTCAACATGTAAATGCTCATCTCCACAACCACCACCATCACCAACATCAGAGGGGGATCTGCCACGAAGGTGATAAGGCTTAAGCTTCAGGGTCTTCCCAAGGCTGTGCAGTCTTAATTTCATATTCTTTTCTCAAAAAAGGGTCCCCCACACTGTATTAGTTTCAGATCCCACAGAACTTGGATCCACCAGCACAGCACACCCATCCATTCATCCTCCAGAACTTTGGACTTAGATAGGATCCACTTTTACCTATTTTTCAATGGGCTACATGTATAAGATTTCTTTCTCTCTTTTTTTTTTTTAATCAGTGCTCTAGTACTTGGAAGAATTGAGCAATCTCAGTAATAAGTCTTCCTGATCACTATTTAAATTTTTATGGTGGAGGGGACTTACTGGAGAGTAAACAATGCTCTAGAGAGAAGACGATGAACTACATACAGGAAGCAGAGCAGGCATGGATTCTGCTCGTTCATTCCAGTTCTCATCAAGCAAGATGTAGCTTTTATATTTCACTGAAACTCAGCTCAGGCCACAGTGTCTGAGGCTTTCAAGACTGTTCCAGTTGCTATAATAAATTACCATAGATTGGGTGGCTGAAACAACAGAAATTTATTTCTCATAGTTCTGGATGGTGGAAATGCAAGATCGGGGTGGCTGCCAGCATGGTTGGATTCTGGTGAGGACCTCGTCCTGGTTTCCTCACTGGGGAGAGGTGGAGAGAGGAAGCAGGCTACTTCCCTATCTAATCCCATCATAGGGCCCCACCCTCACGACCTCATCTAACCCTCTTTACCTCCCAAAGGCTCCACCTCTGAATTCTAACACATCGAGGAATAGGGTTTCGACACACGAATTTTATTTATTTAATTATTACCATTTTTTAATTGAAGACATGATTTAAAATTTTTCCTCCATCTATGAAAATCACATGATATCACTTACATGTGGGATATAAACCTAAAAGCGACAAATGAACAGGACAGAGACTCATGGATATGGACGATGGATTTTAGAGAGACACAAACATACAGCCCATAACAGAAGAATCACTTTCTTCACCTTTTCTATTAAAC